ATTGAGATATTAATAAGATGTTTAGTCTCTATTTTAATTAGAAACATGGTGAAAGAAATTCATTAATAGAATCACACATTCTTTTCAGGTATTTCTTATCTAGTGTAAGTACTGCTGGCATACAATCAAAAAACAATTCACTAGAAAATACTGATACGGTGAAATGGAAATTAAATATATTTTTTTTAACTAATCTACTTGTTAGTATACATCGAAATGAAACCAAACTATTATTTTTTAAATGTTATATATAGTTAGTAGTGAACCAGAAAGAAATCTTTGGAAACTGTTATTGAAACCTTGTTGGCAATGACTTTGTTTATAATGTGTTATAAATTCTTGGAAGTATCCAATATAATTATTATGTGGTAAATCTACATAGAGAAAATTTAAGGAATGTACAGACAGATAAATCATTTCTTTAAGTTCCAGTGTAATGATTACTTTTGCATGCTCTACAAGCACTGGCAAAGGTACTCCACGACTATGCATTTATTTGGAGAGTTCACATAACTGTTAATGATATTTATCACATTCCCATATTTTCCCCCAATTTCATGAGAAACAGGTTGATTTCAATGTACAATTCACATAGTTTATATCAGAATTAGTGTGATATTTTGCTATGCATTTATTTGGAGAGTTCACATAGCTGTTAATGACATTTTAATATTTCCCACATTTTCCCCAAAAATTTATTGTTAATTTCATTGTACAATTCACATACCGGTAGTTAAAATCAGAATTAGTAATGAGATAAGTTGGAAAAATTGGCATTTTTTTTTCATTGTTTACAGGTTTCCAGGCTATCAATTAATAATCATAACACAGATGTTATTTTGAGAATGATCAGGGTCAGAGAGGTTAAAGTCTATTTTTTGAGTTAAATGTCTTTTCCACCTATTCTTTCGTGACTATGTTGATAAGAATTTGTGTGTCATCAAAGTGTTGTTGCTCATGAATTTTAGTAATGAACCAATTTTTGAGGATTTTTCACCACAAAGAAAAAAGATACTGGCTCAATGAGAGAAGTTTGTATGCTCGCAAACTGAACGGTCTGGCATAGGTCAAGATGAAGGTTTCAATTAGGTTTTTCTTGTCTAGTGAAGCAGTTGAAAAGTGGTGTATGATAAAGGTTGAAGCAGTTGGGAAGTGGTATGAGAAAGGTTGTGCACATTAAAAAGCCATTAACACTTGAAAATTGAAAAATAGCAGACTAATACTTCTGTCAATGCAAAATTTCCGTTGGCATTCTTTATTCTTAGTCATCATTGTTATAAGTACCGATTGCTGAACTGGTTAGTATAACCTATGTTGATTGACTATATAGTATAAGTAATAAAAATAGTTGATGTAGAATAAGACTGAGACAATTAGTGACTATAAAATGATTAGAAACATCAGACAGAAAATCAATGTTATCGTGTTGTTGGAGGCTGGAGAGAGAACAGTGAATCATTAATGAAGTCGGGGAATAATGTACATATACTGGCATAAACTAGCCGTTAAAGAATAATAGGTGTCTATATCAACTATAGAAACTCTCTCTAAGCTGTTGGAAACAGTTAATTTAAACAAGGTACATATTGAAGGGGTGGTGGGGTAGGAGGATGGAGATAGGGAGGGATATGAGCTTGAAACTTATTTATGCTGGTTGAAGCTAGTTTCTATTTTGGTTTACAATAGAATGTAATGGGTCTATATAAATGCCTTCCTCTAGCTGAATTGCAGCATTTCAATTCAGTTTAATATTCTAAAAATTCTTTTCAGGAGGGTAAGGGGGGGGGGGGGGGGATAAACAGATAAACAAACCATAAAAAAGGGTGTTTATGAAATATAAAAAAACTCTAAGTTGGATGAGGTCAACAAATTTCAATTTCTTTTATGCTCTGTTGTTGCTACGTTCTTTATTCTATAACATAATTGATATAAAATTATTTTCTGCACCATATTGAGATTGAGAAGTGGGCAATGGGGGAATTTTTGTTGAGACAGTCGGTATGGCCTGCTTTTATTTTTAGTTTATCTAGTGTTGTGAGAGTGTTACTTAGTTATAATCATTTTATTGGGTTACTAGTTCATCACTGTCTTATGAATGGGAAATTAAAGAATTTGGTATGCAGACTTACTAATGATAGAATAATCTGCCAGTAATCAGACTGTTCCATATTATCTCTGAAAAAGTCTCCATTATAGTTATCATAGCTACTTAAACTGATATTTTTATTGGTCTTTTTTTCTAAAGAGATTCTTTAGAAAACTTAAAGAGCAGAGATGGTACTGCTAGCTAAGATCAGAGTTCAATCCCGGCATATGTCTTGGTGATAGAAATTTCAACCTAGATTCTTTATCTCAGTGATGCAGGTCGAATCAAAATCCTTAGACAGTTGAGAATCAAAAAAAAATCTCCCATAATATACCACGACACAAAGCATTCCCTGTGTTCAGAAGTAGAATGTTGAACATGAAGATTCACTTGTTTGCAAACAACGGACCAGCAAATGCCCACAACTTATTTTTGGTTGGTAGTACCTGACTAAGAGAGATTGTTTCAATCCTGCCAAGTATACTTATGCAATATTTATGTATTTTCCTTAGTGATGCAGGATTATACCATTCTTTGATTTTTTGCTCGACATTTTAATTCATTCCGCGTCATTCATTCAATTTGGTTGAGCTTGTTAAATTAAATGCTTGGTTAATTGCTATGATATTTGTCAGGTTTTAACTTGCATATTTTTTATATTACACTACATTAGATTGCTTTCATGTTCATAAGGTGTAAAGTAACATTCATACTATATGCATAATATGTAATTCAGTGAGAATTTTCAATGCTTTTGAATAAAGAAAATATAATCACAAGGCAATCCTGGCTGTGTTAAGCTAAAAATGGAACACTTAGGAGGTATCTATAGCTTCTATTTTCACCATTCCAGTTTTAGGCAAGATATCTGTGGTTTTCATGATTCAAGACCAGGAAACGTAAGGAGTAATATTTGATCTATATGCCTAATTCTAAGAATTAAAATTGAAATCAAATCATGAATATTTGTATTTAATCTGTGACTTTATTTTACTCTCTTTTATACAGGAAAGTAGATGTTACCTAGTATCTAGCTTTCTCACGAATTATAGTGTAATTAGTAATCTGTCATCCCTACAACATGTTAATATTTATATAATAACTTATATATATAAATTTATTCTAGATTATAAAAACACACTCATGTACTTATTGACTTACATAAATCTTTTAATGCAGAGCACACAATGTTATTTGTTAACATTTCTGATTTCTAATATTTTTGATTAGAAATTTGGGAATCCCTGTAAAAGGAATATAAGAGTCCAGCCATGAAATTAATTGTCAACACACAATTTAGAGAAATTTAGGTTCTAAAAAAACAAAAGAATTCAACCCATTTCAAGAATGAAATTTACAGCCAGATTAAAATAACATTAAAACTTTATCTTAAACTCTGTAATATATATGGATTAAATTTGATTAAAGTTGTTGAATATTTAGATTGATAAATGTTAAAATGCCTTGGGGGTATAATTGGGTGTTATATAGCATAAGAATGTACTTAACGTAAGTTATAAATATATTATCTTGTTGCATTATAAATTTGACATGTTTATGCTAAAAACTATCTATAGCTCTTTTATATCTATTCTCTCTATCTCTCTCTCTTTACAATGCTTGAATATTTGATAGTGAAATCAATAATGACATTAGAAGTCTGGTTAGAGGAGAATATTGAGTTACGCTCTTCAAAATATTTTTATACTGGTTACCAGTGTATGCTAGGTCAATATAGTCCTTTCTTATCAATATTCCTCTATTATATATACATTGATTATCATACATTCCTGACATATTTCTCTCTTGTTCCTGATAATGGTCAGTTCGGTGCCATTAGTTATTGGACATTGTCTATTTGTTTATGATAAATAAGCTTATGGGAGTAGCCATTTTTGCTTCAACCTTTATCATACACCACTTTCCTACTGCTTCAACCTTTATCATACACCACTTCCCAATGAGGGAAAATTTGCAAGGGCAGCATTCTTTTGAAAATTTAGTGCAATTTATGAATTTATATCTTCAAAAGCACTAAGGGTCTCAGTTCTTCGGTTCCAAAACCTAGTTTGCAATGTTCTTTATATGCAATATCAACATATTTTCTCTGTTAAATATTAAGAGCACTATGGAAATATATTTCTATTTTTGTGCATGAAATATATAGAAATATTGAGCAAATAGAAATAAGATAGCAGAAAAAACCCAGACAGTATAATTTAAATTAACTGAGTTCTGTAAACATCAAACTTATTAAGAAATTCTATATTAATATGATGTTTGTGTCTGGAACTATTATTCATGATTAGAATATAATTGAAATCTTAAGAAAATAGGAATCCAATTTCTTTTTTCTATGTTAAAATATTTAATCATTAGAAATTTACCTTGTTTTAGCAAATTTCGGATCAACAAGCACAAAAAAACAATTTTATCAAATTTATAGAAAGTTGACGACACAATAATCAAATCTATAGATAAATGACAACACAAGTTGATAACACAATAATCAAATCTATAGATAAATGACAACACAAGTTGATAACACAATAATCAAATATATAGATAAATGACAACACAAGTTGATAACACAATAATCAAATCTATAGGTAAATGACAACACAAGTTGATAACACAATAATCAAATCTATAGATAAATGACAACACAAGTTGATAACACAATAATCAAATCTATAGATAAATGACAACACAAGTTGATAACACAATAATCAAATCTATAGATAAATGACAACACAAGTTGATAACACAATATTCAAATTTATAGAAAGGTAACAACACAATAATCAAATCTATGGATAAATGACAACACAATGTTTAAATCTATGGATGATCTAAAAAAACAGATTATACACATTTTCTATCTAAAACAGATCATTTATTTTAAATCTTTTTATATTACAGAAAGAAAATAACTGAAATTGGTAAAATGACGGCCTTGACACAAGATGAAATAGTGAGCAACACTAAAACTGTTATACAAGGTCTAGAAACATTAAAAAATGAACATCATCAAATTCTCAACAGTCTGCTTACTTCCATGAAAACCATTAAAAAAGAAAATGGAGACACAAACCTGGTGGAAGAAAAAACAAATATTTTAAAGAAATCTTCAGAAATGATAGATTTAGGTTTAGGGGAAGCACAGGTAAGAATTGAAAAAAAACTTTTTTATTTGTTTGACTGTAACTTGGATGGGGAGTGCAGTTAACCTAAGAAAAATATGAAATTTCTAGTTCTGCATTTAAAGTTAATGTTTTAACTTATATTGATTTTTCTCTGGAAAATTGAATTTGAAAACTGATATTGCAAACAAATACTAGTTATTGTCCTAAAAGATATGTTTTTTTTAAAACCAGGTAATGATGGCATTAGCTAATCATTTACAACATGTTGAAGCTGAGAAACAAAAATTACGGGCCCAAGTTCGTCGATTATGTCATGAAAATGGGTGGTTACGTGATGAGTTGGCTACAGCACAGCAGAAATTACAGACAAGTGAACAGAAATCAGCAGCTCTAGAAGAAGAAAAGAAACATTTAGAATTCATGAATGAAATGAAGAAATATGATTCCATGGATCCAAATATGGTAAGGATTTATAGATTACTCTTTGTGGAATGCTCGAAGGGGTAATTGGTATCTGGAATGTTTTGTTAGAACTAAGATGTTTGTTAGATTTAAGCTTATACAAGCATTCAATATCAGATAAACATTTCATCTATGATGTTTTGATTTCAGCAACAGTCAGTGGAGGAAAAAGAATCAACAGTAAATGAACAATCGTCCCAATCATTAGATTTAGGTTTTCCAGATGATGATGAAGATGGGCCACAACCGGAAGGTATGGGTGTCTTAATATTTTTGGTTGTATAACTGGAGTGATCCCCAGCACAACCGTAGAAGGGTTGTGGTCAAATGAAAAAAAAATTCAATATAGTTTAAGTTTATAATTTTGCAGCATAGAGACCGTGCATAAGGGTACTTATTTCCAAAATGGTAGTATATGACTTTAAGACCGATATATTATTTCTTACAGTTTTATCTCCGACACAACCAAGTGCAATGGCCCAAGCGGCAAGTGGTGGTTATGAAATTCCAGCTCGGCTACGAACATTACATAATCTAGTCATTCAGTATGCATCGCAGGGACGATATGAGGTGGCAGTGCCATTATGTAAACAAGCTTTAGAAGATTTAGAAAAAAATAGTGGGCATGATCACCCTGATGTTGCTACTATGTTAAATATTTTAGCTCTGGTTTACAGGTAGGAAAAAATACAAAATATCTGTTAAATCTAGATCCTTATGATTTCAAATTTATTCAAAAATTTTCTCTATAATCCAATCACATTTATCTCTCCACTTAATTTACTGACAGCCCTTTCAAAGGTCTTAATGATCTTGCATAAATAGTGTAGCCTCTTGAGGATTGTGCTAGACTTACTTGAAATGTCAACTTCATCTCTAGGCTCTGTGACATGAGCACATTGTACATATTTTTTAAATCAATCAGTTTCTTCTAGATCATGATAGTAACTTTCCATATCAGTCATTGATTATGTTAAAAATAGAAAATATTACACTGGAAGCTCCTTGTTGTGGCTTAAGTTAAGCTCTTCAATATGTGAGGAGTAAAAAGTCTGTAATCAATATTATTAGAAGACTTTTCTTACCTCTGTTGGGAAGAGCTTTTTTGTTGACTTCTGCAAGATTTTTATTTTAGCAACAAGGCTTACCCAGTGTTTTTCAAATCATTTGAATTTTATTTGTCAGTTGGTTGTAGAAATGAGCCAAGACATGGCTATGTTAGAATATTATTCTTACAGAGATCAAGGCAAATATAAAGAGGCAGCTAATCTTCTTCAAGATGCTTTACAAATTCGCCAAAATACATTGGGTAAAAATCATCCTGCAGTGAGTTTCTCTTATTAATTTAGAGGAGAAATTCTGATAGAGTAATGAGCAATTCACATTTGGATTTGGCTATGATGAATTGTTTTTTAATGATCAAAGATTTTGTTAGTTCATGAAGGATTGTTGATTTGGCTTCTTTAGCTGGTCTGTCTGATTGAAGTACAGTAATGTTTGACTGTAATTCTGGCCTATTGGACATTGTTTCAACACTTCCAGTCTGAATTAGTGTTATAATTTATAAAAGTTATAAAATTACAACCCTAAAATCCATGGCCCAGTTCTTGACCCACAAATTCTTGACTCATTTCCTTATATTTCATCAAAGTCGCTCTGCCATTTTCCCATGTGAATTCCTATTCGATACATGTTTTATCATTGATTGTGTTATCTAATCTAGAATTAGTAAGAAATCAATATTCCAGACTGAATGCGTGGAGGAATTTTATTGATTCTGGTCTTTAATCAGTTGTGAAATTGGTTTGAATAATTTTGTTTTTCTGCTGCAAAGCTCTGGTGTTTATTCAACTTACAAAATTGAAGTATAATTTTCAAATGAAACTCGTCATTCTTGTTGAAAATTTGGAACATATTAAAGAGATAATTTAAAAAAATAGGGAGTGAAATTCAATCAAAATGATTTCCTTTTGCATATTTCAGACCTTTGTGACATATCATGTACCCATAGGTAGAATAAATCTTAATTCTATGGTACCACAGAATTTCTTTTTCATGAGTAGATCAAAATTTTTTTCTGATTTCTGAATTATTTCTAGATTGGATAACCAAATGATGAAATATGAAACCTATCAGAATTTCTCTATGTACTATACCCATATATTGATATTCATATATAACTTGTTTACAGAGACCAAGGCAAATATAAAGAAGCTGCCAATCTTTTAAATGATGCGTTACTCATTAGAGAGAAAACATTAGGAGTGGATCATCCAGCCGTGAGTTGACACCTTGAACGCACGATATTTTATTTTCTATGTGTATCTTGGTATTGTGCGTAGCATGCTCACTGGTGTATAGTTGCATGTGGTGGGTCTTTTATTTACCCGTACTTTGTAGATGGAACCCTATATTCATGTTCAGCCACAAGTTCTAAATTGGGTGTGGTTTGGATTGGTCTTTCAGTAAATTTATTTTGTTATGACTGGTAAAATGTGGACATATTTTATTTTGAGTGGTAAATGTGGACATATTTTATTTTGACTGGTAAATGTGGACATTTTTTATTTTGACTGGTAAATGGGGACATATTTTATTTTGACTGGTAAATGTGGACATATTTTGACTGGTAAATGTGGACATATTTTATTTTGACTGGTAAATGGGGACATATTTTATTTTGACTGGTAAATGTGGACATATTTTATTTTGACTGGTAAATGTGGACATATTTTATTTTGACTGGTAAATGTGGACATTTTTTATTTTGACTGGTAAATGGGGACATATTTTATTTTGACTGGTAAATGTGGACATATTTTATTTTGACTGGTAATTGTGGACATTTCTTGTTTTGACTGATCAATGTGGACATTTCTTGTTTTGACTGGTAAAGAACGGCATTTTATTTAATGATAAATTTGGACATTTTTTGCTTTGACTGAGAATTTTTGTCATTTTTTTATTTGGCTGATAGATATAGACAATATGGACCATTTCAAAAGAGACATGTATTTTGAGAATTTTAGATTTTCATGATGTTGAATCATATGCTTTTGCTTTTTTTTCGATGGGTTTGTGTATCACTTGGTGTTATGATTTTGCCTTTTATATTTCCATAGTGGGGGATTATGAATGTTTTAATAAACATTTGCACTTTTGATTTATTTTAACTTGTATTAGTCATCATAGATGTTGTTTAAATCCTGAAAATGTACTGACTGAATTTAAGCAAGAAAATGCCAATTAATAGAATCTGATATTGTTTAATAGTGGCATGCCTATTTCTATTCTTGCTATTCTGTATGTTCGATCACATAGATTTTCATTCCTGCATGGTTATAATGTAACAATAAATATTCCTTCAACTTGGGATTGAAAACTGAATGTACAGTTGTTGTATTATGCTATTTAAGAGGATTCAAAGCCTTTGTATGTGTTTCAACTATAAGTAGCATTTCTTGGTACCGTTGTAATTTTCATACCCTACCAATGTTCCTGAAAAACTAATCAAAATACCAAATTGGAATCTGGAATTTCAGGAAATGCTATCACTGTAAAATGAGAATGATTAAAGTTATTTCTTTCATTGATACACTTAAGGCTTTTAAACCACTTTTGAATTCCAAATTTATATATATATGAATATACGAAAAAAAATTATTAAGTACATTCTCTGACCGATTTACTGAATTATTTTCAGATACCAATTTTTTCCTTTGGATTATGAAATATTTTATTCAGCTGGTGAAATTATATTTTGTGTTAAGAATTGAAACATCATGATAATAACAGTGATTCTGATGATGAGTGTTAACAATGTGATATTTGTTGTAGGTTGCTGCTACATTAAATAATTTAGCTGTATTATATGGTAAAAGAGGTAAATATAAAGATGCTGAACCTCTATGTAAACGAGCCTTAGAAATTAGGGAAAAGGTAAGTATGAACTCAGTTCTGCTGGTTTTCTTTGATTTATTTACTCAATAAATATATAACTTGTTCTCATTCTGAGTGGAAATTCTAACTTGAGTAAGGTCAAAACAAAGGAAGATAAACACAAAATATTTTCAGTGAAATCTGATCATTTTCTCTTTTTCATGATATATTTCATCACTTAATAATAATACAGAATATATAATTGATTTTGGTTTGTAATACTCGATGCCTTATGGTTTTGTTACATTCTGTGTTTCTAGGTACTAGGTAAAGACCATCCTGATGTTGCTAAGCAACTGAATAATTTGGCACTATTATGTCAAAATCAAGGCAAATATGAAGAGGTAAGATTAAATTCAGGATTCATAAAAAATGTAAGCATTGGAACGATTCCTTTAATAGACTAAGTGCAAATTGAAAGTACAACCTCGGAACAAAATGTCAGCGCTTACATCAATAGTAATGAAATTGGCCAGGAAAGCTGAGAAATTTATAGCTAAAGTGGTGTAAAAATCAAATTCTGCAAAATGTCCCCTTTTTTTGTGTGATTTAATGCATGTATAAATAATAAAACCTATTTTATTTCAAACTTACTATGGACATCTACAGGTTGAACAATATTATCAGAGAGCTCTTGAGATTTACGAATCTAAACTAGGGCCAGATGACCCTAACGTTGCCAAAACTAAAAACAATTTGGTAAGCTTAAGTGGGGTAGAACTAGGTGATGACAGGGAAATAAGGCTGTACACACTTCCTTACAGACACATCTTAATTTTCTTTTATACATAGATAGATGTTGTTAACTTATTAAATACATTTATAGAGTATATTGAAGTAGATAGAGCCTGTATAACTCTTTTATTGGAAATCGTGTGTCATATTATAGGCTATGCTTCAAAGCATTTGCTTCTAAAAAAAATTACTCTTTGATTGCTGAAATTGTATTGAAATTTTGGAAAAACAAATTTTTCATTTGGCTCTGTGAACCTTTTATTTTGGCATTGACATTAGATTTTGAAAAAAAAAGCAGGAACCTCTTTTCTTGGTTCCTATCAAGAAGGTCCATATATTTCCATATATTTTCAGTGTCATTATAAATGTATTTATTGTGTATCTTATTCGTTGTAGTTAGTAATTTTTTCTCCCATTTCACTTTGTAATTTTCAGTGTAGTATATACTAATAAATGTAGTAATCACTTTCACCTACTTTTATTTTCACTTCTTTATTTTCTGCAGTTCAAACCTTTTGAGAAATTTTTGACATCTTGAACTAAATTCCAATTTTCATTTTTTTCAGCGTCCACAACTTGTAGGTATTTTCTGTCATGATGCATCAAGATCAATATGTGTGACTAATTGTATTCAAACTGGCCAGCTTAATGTTATATCATTGCGTAATTAATGTTCAAAATCTGCTCCCTGCAGCCCTTATCAGAATTGAAATCAGACTTCTGTTTAAAATATTAAATATGATTGCGGAAGTGAGAGCAGTTTGATTGAATCTTGACCTTATTACAAGATTGTAATTGAATTGAATGTCACCCTAGTACTTCGATGGAGAAATCAGTATTTAATTTTTAATTTCTGACAAATCCAGTGTCATTTTTCCAATCTGAGAGGTGATATGGGTAGTGTATTAAAAAAAAAATTTGGATCATATTCCTTAAAACTTTTAGAAATTTCTGTTGATCATTGGCAAAATTTCTTTTTGAAAAATTGGTCAGTTTGAATTTTAGATGTAGAAAGTTTGAAATATTTTGCTAATGACATTATTGATGTTTCATTTTGTACAATGATGACAATGATAAACGTTTTATAATACTGAGCTGCAGAAAATAAAATGATCTATATTTTTGGGTTAATATCATTTTAGGGTTTAAAACTTAGCTTACTTTCATTTTCATATCTCTTTATAATGATGTGTCAACTTCAGAAATTCTACTATCTTAAAACCAAATTTTGGACAGATAAAAGTGTGTGCAGCCTCCCCAAGTCATATTTTTATTGTCTTTTTTTCAATATTTTAGTTTGTAATATTGTTTGCATGTTTTCTCCACTGCCCTGTTGGTTTTTCAGGTTGAAAAATATTATCTTAGAGCTTTAGAAATATACAAGAAAAGATTAGGTCCAGATGATCCTAATGTTGTCAAAACACAAAATAATTTGGTAAGAATTGGCATGCACTGTTCAAGACTGCCTGCAAATTAACAGGAATGCTGTTGAGATTAATTTCTCCCATCATGATGACAATAATCTTGCGAAAAATGGAATATACTTGATATGCATGTGATCAAATTTTCATAATCATACTTGTATATGAATAGTTCTTTCTTACGAAAATCTTTCGAGGCATACTTTATCTTAAAAATTGTTACTAATTTTCTATTGGCATGGTGAGGGTTTCAATTCTTTACTAACTTTTTTTTTACACAGTATGTAATGCAACTATTTCTGCCAAAATATCCCACCAGTTATTAAAATTAGTTAACAGGACTTTGATATTTATGCTGAATGTGTTATGAATTTTATTGTATTCTAAGATAAAAATTTTCAATTTTAACTTATTAAATGATTATTATTTGCAATATTTTCTTGGAACATAATATTATTGATATTTAAAAAAAAAAAAATTTTTTGTTAAGTTGAATTTTAACCATAAAAACACGATGAATGGAATTTTAATGAATTTATCACATATATTAGGCATCAGCATATTTAAAACAAGGGAAATACAAACAAGCTGAAGGTCTATATAAAGAAGTTTTAACCAGAGCACATGAAAAAGAATTTGGAAAAGTAGAAGGTAAGTTATTTATGATATTATTTTAGAGTTTGGAGTCTCTTAAATATTAAAGTCTGTTAACTGAGCTATAGGCTGTATTTTATTCGGACCAAAAAAATGTATATGAAATCGAGAAGATGTGTCTGTGATTTATTTACTATGTATTTAAACTCTATTATAGGTGATAATAAACCAATATGGATGAGAGCTGAAGAAAGAGAAGAAAATAAGGTAATTGTTATATTTTGAAAATAATAATTAATTTTAAAACAGATGTTTTTTCATGATATTCAGGGCTGGAGTGTTTTTAACAGATATTTCTTGTTTTTTCTTATATTTAAAATTTTTACATAGAAAAACATTAACATTTTGTATAAAACACCAGTAAAAAACAAACTTAAGAAATATCACAATATATACCGATATTGTGATATGTGAATAGTAAATATCTTGATATCAACTTGAACTAATATCGCCCAGCCCCAATATCATACCAAGCATTTCAACCTTTCTGAAAGAAAGCATACATTCCATAGCCAGTGCTTTAGCTGACATTAATTCCCTACAATCTCTTTATGGTTTTGAATTAATAATGGTAGATTAATAATGTATTGTCTGTATGTTTTAGGGTAAATATAAAGATGGAGCACCACCTCCTGATTATGGTGGATGGCATAAAGCACCAGCTAAAGTTGACAGGTACTGTAATTAAATATATTCTTGGATACCAGACTTTCTCTATTTTGAGGATTTTCGTCTTTTTTTCTGACCAGTGTTATTTCATTTATTTTGGAATAAAAATACTCAAAATTTGGTTTATGACACTTAGAATTTGATTGTTTTTTCTGTGAAAACCACTAGGACTTCAAATCTGTTGCACATTTTTTTGTAATAGCAAGACTTCCAGAGATTTTTATGCTTATTCTTATTTTTCAGTCCAACTGTAACCACTACCCTAAAGAATTTAGGAGCTTTATACCGTAGACAAGGGAAATATGAAGCCGCAGAAACTCTAGAAGAATGTGCTATGAGATCAAAGAAAAACGTGAGTACATTTTGAATTTTTTTTCTGAAAAATCTAAATAAAGGCGTTACCATTTCCTGAATATTATCACATCTTTAAGGCTACCGCCACATGTTCCAGAATCTTCACCAATTTGGGATTAAAATCACAGAATTTAAAATTTGATAATCACTATACCTCAACCCAGCACTTGCATCACACTTTATTCAGAATATCTTAGATTCTCACTTTTTTCTCAGAATTGAAGTCAGAATACAGACTTCATGCTTTGCCTAATTGTTTTCACTTGAATGGTCAATCTTTTAAAGGCCTCCCTTCACTTAATTTAGTACAAATTTTGACCCTGCAGATATTTTGATCCAACAAATGGACTATGCTTCTCTGTTTTACTATTACTGTACCTAGACCGTTTTCAACTTCTGTGTTTTATAGCTTAACTTCTATTTAGTAGAAAAGTAGCTTATTATTTTGGTGTTGGGATATGTCCCAGGTCAGTGTTTACGGGGAGGAATGATTATTGGTAGTTTGGAAATATATACACCACAATTTAGAGCTCATAATATATTCTTCAGATTTTATGTTTACATGTTTATAGCGTGTCCATAATTTTTTGGGGAACTCTTCTGGTCACTGTGGGTGAAGCGTTTTCAAATGCTAACGAACCATTATTAATTATTTCCTCCAATTTAATCCTTATACAATGATAAAGAATAAGGCAAGGCTTCATCAAGGGATCACTAATTTTCCAATATTTTTGGAAAGTCTTGACTCTGGATTGGACTCTTTAAGAGTCTCTGATGGACTCCATGTGAGTCACTATTGGACTCTGATTTGAGTCACTTAATTTGCCAATGTCTGATAAAATGGAATGTGAGTGCTGTGCTTCTGTTTTGCTTGTTGCTTTCCTGTTGTATTCTTTAGTTTTATTCATTTTCCAACTAATTTCTTGGTTTTTTGGGAATTTCTCTTCCATATTATTGTCATTATATCTATCCTTACTATACCATTAACTCCACATTTTAATCTTCTTATCAACTTTTGACACAAAAACACAAACAAGATTTTTGGTTTTAATGCTAGGCCCTGGACATTGTGAAAACTACCAAGCTCACAGATTTAGGAAATGATTTTAAAGACCATTCACCGCGAGAAAGAAAACGATCTAGTAGTAGAGATAGATCTTCGAGACGGGGCTCAGTGGATAGCGTGTCCTATGATAAAAATGATGGTGATGACGAAGTGAGTATCGGTGTTGAATGGTCAGGAGAGGGGGTGAGTACGAGTCAAGCGAAAACCTTCCCAGCGACAGTAAACAATCATTAGTTACTATTATTTATAGTGGAGATGGACAAATTTTCTATAATAGAGGGACATGCATGATTTCAGATAAACTCCAATCCCTTTTATCATTTTTTTACTTTTAGTTCATTTTTTGTCAAATTTTTATCATTTGATGCACTTGGTGTTTCATATATATATATATCTAAATTTTGCATGTCATTTTCATTGGACTTTAATGACATTCTGTAAGATATATTTGAAGGTGATTTTAAAGAAATTTGTTTCCCACTATAATATAATATTCGTACATGTTGGTTGGAAGGTTTTCTGTATGTAGTTTTGCATGAATTATCTCAGTGTTCTATGCCACGACAGGGGCCTTTATTGCTTCTTCTTTGTTTGTCAAACTCTTATATATCCTTGTCCAGTTTTACGCACTACCAAAATCCAAATACTTGTGACTTAATCATGCTAACCAAAATGAAACAAATTTTTGCACCGAATGAAGTGAATTCACATAAACTATGCTAATTTATCTGCCTTTGGAATGACAGAATGGATAATTTGGGTGCCTGCAAGGAAAAGGGTGTCTTGAAACTGTCAGAATTTATGTCTCGTCTGGCATGGACTTTCAAAGCTTTCAATATATAGAATAGAGTATACAAAATTCAATCTAGATTGTTTATTTTCTATTATCTACACTGTAAACAAAGTCTAGATTCTCACTTATTTTTGTTTTTGACCACATAGTACCCTGTCTGGATTACACTGAGTTAGTTCTCATTACTAGTACCTTATATATCTTGACTCGTATACTCATGGTGTGGTAAATAACCCCCACCCTCTCTCTTCTGATTATTATTCACCGGTAAAATAGCATCAACATCATTTATCACTTTAATACAATGTTATGTCTACATTTCAGTTTGATCAATTCCGAATTTAGAATTTAGCTTTGTAGCTTTTGTTAGAAATAAATTTCTGTAGTTTTGTTATATCAAAGAATTTGAGTTAGAAACACTAATTAATCATTTATTAATTATGTTATTTACAAACATATTGCTTTATGATAAAAATGACTGACGCTATTTTGCCGAAATTTTTTGATTCTAATGAAATTTTTATTACTTAAATTACTGTAACAAATCTAATTATTTTTTGTGGTCGGCACTCTATTTTTGTTTTGGTTATAGAAAATTATTTTTGATAGATTTATATGTACGATATTAGCTTAGCCTTAGTGGTAAAAGTAGATATGATATTTTTTGGATATTAATTGCAATCTTAAATCATCTTAAAACTTTACAAATTAAAAAATTGAAGAACAAAAAAACTAAAAAAATATTATGTGATTTTTATTGAATGAATTTTAAATGTGATATTTTTTTTTCAATTAAATTAGCATGCACACTCTTATTTCAATTCTTTACTATATGCTTGGATTTTTAATTTTAGAAGTCTGTTGCCAAATGACTTGAAAAAAATTGTCTTGGTGTTTGGGAAAGCTTTTGTGTGTGTTTTCGATAGATGCTTATGGTATTAAGTGTGATCCATATTTAAAAATTGGCTATTTACTTATAAAAAAAATTGGCAACAGACTCACTCTCATGTTTCAGGAATTGTGCTCAATTATTCCAATTGTATTAGCAGGAATTATGCCATCTCAAAATTTATTCCTTTAAGAATTATAAAGGCCACCATAAGGTCCTTGGTTAAAAATTAAAAACTGATAAATCATTATTATGCTGTCTTTAAAGGTATACTACCTCATACGATGACCAAAAAATAGAAATTTTTAGACTTGCTTAAAATGAGTCTTTGTTCATCAATGGACAGTGGATTCAAAAGAATCAAAAGAATGATTGAATAAATCCATAAAACTAAGTTTGAGACTTGAAATTTTATGTCCATTCTAAGAGGTAGCATCCTTTTAAGTTAAAAATGACCAAAACTAATTTGAAATTTCTGATTTGGCTCATATGATTTTTGATTGAAAGATAAAGAAAGCACCATTCCTGGAACTAAAGAATGACTAGTTTTAGAATATAAATATGTGTTTTATTTGCTCCTACTCTACTCTATTAACATTTATCAGACCGGCAAATTAAGGCGTAGTGGCTCCTTCTCCAAGCTAAGAGCTTCCATTAAAAGAAGCAGTGCCAAATTGGTGCAGAAATTAAAAGGAAAGGGTCCAGTTGATGATGATTCTGGAAGGTAAGTGATCTGAAATTTAGCCTTGACCTTTATTCATATCCTCCATCTTTCTTTTTGACAACAATTTCAACCAATCAGATTTCAGCTTATTATTTAGATAAGGTTTTTTTATGTTTAGCTATTTCTACCAGTATACCATTATTTCAGCTAGATCTTTTGAATTTTGTGAAATAAACAACCACTATTTTTATGAGTTTTCTGCTGACAGATTTCAGGAATCATTACAGCAGAACTTAAGGCTGAAAAACATTCATAATGTCACATTTGATTGCAGATTGAAAAGAAACTTATAATTGTATTTAGCAGACAAACAAAGTGTATATTAATCATATTAATCACTGCAATAACATGAAAAAAAAATATTTTTATGAATAAATATTGATGTTGGTGAATGAATTTGTATATAGTTTGGGTAAAACTATAGTAAACATATATATAGTGCATGAAGCCTTTAGTGATGCACTAATAACACTATTGCAAAGAAAATAGTCACTTTCAATTATTTTTCTGTTAATAATTTGATTTTGGATATAAACATGAGCTTTGAAAGTAACATAATACAAATTACTGTACCTTTTAGATTTCTCAGATAATGCTGAAATTTAATTAGACATGAGTTTTTCTGTTAATTCATTGGTTATTATGAATATTGTGGGTGACCGCTTGAAACCTCCTATAACTATATATGACGCGAAATTACTTTTCGAGAAAAACACAAAAAACTAGATGCTTATTGTGTTAAAATCTTTTTTATTATTTTTGTTACTGCTATTTGTGGTTTTCATTCTTTGAAAATTTAAATCTCGTATAACAATTTGAGTACTCTGGCCTATTCAACCAATAACTTGTATAATAGTACAGTATATGAGGTTTTTGTTTTCATCTGCAGAAAAAGGAACATTGAACCTCGTATAATATAAGACTATTTATATACGTGTTATTTAATTGGTGGTTTTTTGGTTATTTACGATCAAGCTAAGAATAAGAGGATTTGATCACAAGATCCATGATTTTAGAACCTTACTAATGGTACCAAAAAGTCAAAATGACCAAATATGGCATTACGAAGTTTCAAGCGGTCACCCACGATATATTCACATCATCAACTGAAACATAATGATGAAGGAAATTGAACACCAATTTTTGCAATATCTATTTTGAGAGGGAATTCAGTGATAAAACTCATCTCATGCTGCAGACACAAGATAAGAAAAACAATCCTTTTAAAGACTGGCAGGTGGGGGGTGACCTTTTAATTTGGAAAATGGCTTCAATCACTGCTTATAAATATTTGTCACAAATTAAGAATTTGTTTGTGAGAGTAGTTGTAGTTTCCTCTACTTTTATTTTATTTCCTTCTTTATATTATTAGCCTTATTGATAGTTGTGAGTTTTCTTTTTTTTAGTTAGTATCTTTTCTTTCTGAGAATGTCTGAATTTCTAAAACTTCTCTCAGAGCTTTTGCTTTCAGAATTCTGATCCAAATCTTTAATATGTATTGCTATTTGAGCATACTTTCAATTATGTTTTTTTCTAAAATGTTTCCCTTAAAGCAATTCTCTTCGGAAGAATTCATGTGAACGAATGCAATGCTCTGAGAAAAATTCCAGCATTTTCTAACATCTATGGCACCTTTTATTTCTACTAGTTATTTCTCTTTTACGTAGTTTAAGTTGGTATATAAAAGGAATGACATCCCAGCATCAAAGGTTGGTCAGCAGTTATCTGCCCTTGCCATCACCACCCTGCTAATGCTGTTCAGAGCACCAAGCATTTCCACAAACAAAATTTTTTTGTACACAGTATTTTTGAATGTTATGCTTTCCATGTTTAGCATGAAATTTATATTCACCTTAGATATTAATTTATCAAATAATGTTCAAAAGATATTTTTTGAATAGGGTAAAGATAAAATAATCTAAAGAATTTTCTTAAGACAAAATATCAAAGAAATCTACCCATTCTTCCCCATTTGCTGTGCTGTTCCCATTTTACTTCAATAGTTTATACTTATGATAGATATAAACAAAATATTCAAGAAAATGAATCTAGAAACAAATGAGATTTAATGAAACATATCCGAATGATATTTTATACCATGCTTCAGTTGCTTGTTTATCCAAATAAGGAATCCAGCTTTAAATTTTCAGCTTGCAACCAATACCCTATATATATGTATATTACATAATGTGGAAATTTATGCCCTCTTCTAGTTATATCTTCAATTATTGAAACTCCTTGACACAGAGATGTAGAATTATCATAGGCAGAACAACAAATTTTAATAACATTCTTGTAAACATTAAGATTTTTCCTAGCTGATATTATTTAATAGCAACTTTCGGTAACATTTTCAGAATTAAGATCTTTGTTCAGATCGATATTAATATTTACAAGGGCAGTAATATTACTATGTTTGAGAAATAAGACCATGAAAGTCACATCAGTCTGTAAACTTCCATTGTATCATAAGAATCTAGATGTCCGATTTTGATTCATAATTTTTTCTGAAGACAGCCACATCCTTACATGAATTATCAGGAAAGGTTAAATATATATATATAGAAATATTTTGTGGGTGTTATGTGATTTTGTAGAATTATTCAAATAAATTGTTGTTTTAATGTGTTGTATTATTGTATTGTCACAAAGTTAGTGATATTAGTGGTATCCATTGCTTTGTATTTATGTTAATATTAGTTCTTGGTGTTATTTCAGTATGAAAAGAGCAAGTTCCATGTCAGTTCTCAATATAATTAGTAATAAAGAAGATAAATTACATGTAAGTAAATTAAGTTTATAATGCACAGTTTTTACTCTTAAAAGGG